ACACAGTTTGGGTACTATGATCTCGTGTCGTCTCCCTGCATGCTAAGACCCCTGGTCCCTGCAGGCTAGGCAGTCATCACGGTTTCATCGGCGCATGCCTGAGTTGCAATACTGCATTCAGGTCATGATAACCTCTAGCAAGATGAACAGCAAGCACTTGCAACGGAGAACACTGTCCGTGTCTTGGAAGTACTGGTATTCTTCTTCGGAATTTGACAGTGTACCTAACTTACTGCTATCATGTTTTACACTCGTGTTACCATGCGGTTGCAAAATCTTGTCCAGGCTAGTTTGGATGTGTGACATAAACTCCTGTCTGTCCAAAATTTCTCGTAGCCTGATGTATCCATATATTATTTTGAACAGGTCTTATGGTGTTGTGGGAGGTTCTCTATCGCCGACCTGGTGTTGCTTCAGTATGACAGGGTTGTGGTTGTTGTGCGTGTGTGTATGTGTGTGTGTGTGGGGGGGGGGGGGGGGGGGGTCTCTATTCAGAGATTGCTGTGGTTCGACCGTGTACTTGGAATAGCCCATAATTACACATATCGTCATGTATGTACCAGGATGTGTTCTTGACTTCTTGTTGTTCAGCTCTCACATGTGCTTTGTTGTTGTTGTCGACTTCTTTCTGATTGTCACATGATCACAGAGTGACGTACTTCATGGAGATGGTGCCAGTGAAGACCCGTGCTGCGTGCAGTGCATTCCTGCAGGTAAGTGGGATGTTTACCTACACAGACACACGCAGTGCGCCTTAAGGTACGCAAAGAAAAGTGTAAGGTATTTTCTTTGTTGTAACTCGGAGTTTCATTGATCAGCGAGCTATCATCAGAAAACGGTGAAGGAGTTAGGAAGCAGTGCAGGTATATAGCTAAGCAGCTTCATACCTCCTTCACTGTTGTGACAGGACAATGTCCACACAAAGCAAGAGTATGTCTTATCAGAATATGTACTAAGCGAGTTCCACTGTAATTATGTGTGGCATGGTGGCAGTGTTGTCTCATGCTTTTTACTAGTGATGTAACGAAAAATCGATTATTTGAATTTCCTCGATTTCTTGGACCTCAACGAATAATCGATCGGATAAAAATCTAGGCCGATGGTTCGAATATTCGCGGGCGGGCGAATCCGTGCGCTGCATACCGCGCGCGCGACTCTAGATCTCTCGACTTGAATGCATAAACTTTTTTTACTGTGTTGCAGACTTGAAACGACTAGACTACGCGTGGTAGACCATGGTAGACTCTACTGTGACTGGAGTCTGAGCGCTTGTGTTGTGTGTTTGCTACATGTACACTTTTTGTGGAATAGTAGAATAATTGTTCGTTCGATTGAGTGGTATTCGCTAGATTATTCGTTCATAAAACTCATGGTTCGTTACATCACTACTTTTTTACCATGAAACTCTTAGTAACAACGAAACAGCCCTATTTTATTCCCGTAGCTATGCAAAAGATTCAGTAACGTCTGGCGCTAGCCAGGGTCCACACAGCTTTAATTTGGTGTTTGTTTGTGCCGTTGGCATGCCTGGCGCTATCCCGTACCATCAAAGACAGCTGGCCACAGTAATCAAATAGGGCTTTCAAATTCAAGATTATAGCGTGAAGCAACTTGGAAAAATGAGTATGTATGCAAAGTGTGTCGGGGGAATGCATGCAGGTCGATAGTGCGGGTTCGAATCCAAGGTTATGTCTTGAAAAAATAGGAGCAGGGGCGTAGCACCCGCTACGACTGGTACGACCATGGCCGTACCACTTTTCGAAAAGTGTGGTCCGTCTGGAACGTGCAAAACCGTAATAAAAAATCAGTATCCATTGATGCATACCGGTATGCGCATCAGTCTTTGTCCTTTTTCTAGACTCGTACTCGTAGATCTGCCATGCATCTGTGCATGTCCATGCACGTCTCTTCTGACCGTGAAATAATTCTATGACTTTATAAACTGTGCCAGAAGTGTGCCAGAAGTTCCCAGAACGCAGGATTTTGTGTCTTTTTTTACAAAATGTTCCCGCGGGAGGTCCCCCGGACCCCCTACAAAACGGCCTTCGGCCGCGCCGACCTTCGGTCGTACCACTTCCAAAACCGCTCCTACGCCCCTGAGGAGAAATGAAATTTTTTTAACATCCCTGTGCTTTTTTTGCCTAGGTCATCAAGGTGGTAGACAGTGTCGTATTACCTTCGAATGCAAAGAGAATGTTTATTTCTTTTGCTCAGGGCCCTACGCTATGCTTTTTTTGCCTAGCTCATCATGCATGTTATTCGAACAGATGGAAACTTTTCGCAATACAATGATGTAGTCGATCAGTTCGTTGTAGTATGGTTGGGCATTGTAGCCGCCATGGTCGACGTAAAACACTATAGCCAACCAATGGAAAAAAACATATTTCCATCAGTTCTCATAACATCCATGATGAGCTAGGCAAAAAAGCATAGCGTAGGGCCCTGAGCTTCCAAGCTCTCTTGTTTCCTGTTGTGTACCTCTTGCGTTATGTGTTGCATGAGTATTTTATAAGGGAGTTGTTTGCTCCCCACACTGGAGCTCGCAAGTGTCAAGTCAGGTTGGCGAGAAAAGCGCGAGCTCCAGTGTGGGGAGCAAGCAACTTCCGTATAAAATGATTGCCAAGGTCACGACCACTATTTTGTGGATTTTATGATTTTTTTTGGCTTTTTTTTGCATGGATGCAGTGAATGGGATTTTCAGTCTTTGACCATTTTGCTGGTGGGCTGATCTACTCACCTCCCACAGCTTTAGGAGCTGCATCTGCGCCTTTGACCTTTGTAGGGTGGTGTTGTTCCTACAGATGCTGAAAACACAGTCTAACGGAGTCTCAAACGAACCATGAATTTGTTTGTGTTGTGTTCTTGGACTGCTTTGTACAGCTTGTGTACAGTCTTGGCATGATAGGAGCGGCTGGCATGTCGATTGGCATCATGTCGGCGCTGAACTGGCGCTATTTGCTCGCCTTCTCCGTGTTTGCCTACATCCTGGTCTTGCCGCTCGCACTGGTAGGTGGCATGTGTGTGTGTGCGTGTGTGCGTGCGTGCGTGTGTGTGGGTGTGTGTGTGTGTGCGTGCGTGCGTACGTGTGTGTGTGTACTGGATGGGGAACCGTTGTAGATCTGATGATGCGTTCTAACCGTGACATCTTCCATGCTATGTTTACCTTCCCTTGCCATTTATGTACCAAATCTTTAGCCATGGTGGCACACTCACAACACGATGGAAGGCTGTTTGGATGTGACTTCAAATTGCATGCCCAGAAGCGATCATCAGGCATCATTCACCCTGCATGATGATCACTTGTTGACCGTCAAAGTCACAGTCAAACAGCCCCCCCCCCCCCGTCCCCCAACCTCTAGTTATGTGCATGTGTGTGCATTGCTCGGTAACCTGGTTCATTATGCTTTCTGTTCTTGCTGTCTTGACCGGAACCAATTGTAAGCCGAAGATCTAATGACATGGGATTACAACTAGGGGGGGGGGGGGGGCTCAATTTCAGTCCATTCTGAAAACAATGATCGCCATGATCGTGGTCATAGATGGGTGCAAAGTTAGTTGAACTTACCCGTAGAGTGACGCACATAAAAGGGCATGTACCTATATACAGGTACAGTCAAATCTGTCGTAAGCGACCGCCCCTTGGTGCAAGAAAAAGCGGTCGCTTACGGCAGATGGTCTCTTACGGCAGATGTATGGTAAATCCGGCATACCAGGTATATGCTTCCATGTACTCAAATCGACGAGAATAATGTGATTTTCTATATTTTATTGGATATTCAACGACGACCATACCCGTATAGTACGCGTATGCGACACGGCAGTAGATCGACACTGCCTGGACTTGAGAGCTACAGCACAGCCTCAGTACAGGCCAGGCGCCAGTCCATCGCACTTGCAAGACAGCGCATTTTCACACTTTGCAGTTGACAGCCCACTGGCAAGTACAGTTTCGCACCTTACTGAACCTGGGTCGCGGTCGCTTACAGCAGATTTGAATGCAGCCACCGCGCATGAAATCGCGGTCGCTGGTCGCGCACAGCAGATGGTCGCTCTGGACAGATCAGTTTGTATGTGAAACCGTCGGTGCACGGAAAATCGGTCGCTAACGGTAGATGGTCGCCTACAGCAGAGGTCGCTAACGGCAGATTTGACTGTACATGCATAGGTGCACCTTCACATGCACGTACATGATTGTACAGTCAGACCTCGCTTAAAACCGCACACATCCATTTTCCACAAAGAATATCCGGATGGGCGAGGGAATCGGATAATCAAACCCACATACTGTATGTATGCATAGCATATGCTGTAAATCGGTAACCTTCGATTTTCTTCCGGACGGCAAGGGATCCTGATAAAAGAGAACCGGATAAGCGAGGTTTGACTGTAAAAGCAAATGGGCTTTTAATTTAAGTGAACCCACTGATCCCGCGACACACTGACGCTACCATGATACCATGACACACTGACGCTACCATGATACCATGACACACTGACGCTACCATGATACCATGACACACTGACGCTACCATGATACCATGACACACTGACGCTACCATGATACCATGACACACTGACGCTACCATGATACCATGACACACTGACGCTACCGTGATACCATGACACACTGACGCTACCATGATACCATGACACACTGACGCTACCATGATACCATGACACACTGACGCTACCATGATACCATGACACACTGACGCTACCATGATACCATGACACACTGACGCTACCATGATACCATGACACACTGACGCTACCGTGATACCATGACACACTGACGCTGCCATGATACCATGACACACTGACGCTACCATGATACCATGACACACTGACGCTACTATGATACCATGACACACTGACGCTACCGTGATACCATCTTTACAGGGTTTAGTACAATCATGTAACTTTTCATTCCAGTGTGGCCGGAATTCTTTTCCACATCTAGCATGTAGTTTGAGGTATGGTCCTTCCAGCGTGTACCCTAGATGGAAATTATTCGGCCAGACCTTTTTGCGGTTAGCCACATATGCTTAGAATCAAACAATAATAAGAGGACGAAAACTTTGTTTTTACTCCGAGTTTCACGCACTAAGCGATCATCGGAGAACAGCTTAGAATCACTGTACAGACTTAATGCTGGTAGAAAACTCAGTTCTTGTGCTGAGGTCAGTTCTCGCCGAATCTGAACCGTTTGTTTAGCTTTACTACTTGTTTCAACTTGTTTAGCTACTTGACATTTGAGCGAAATCAGGGTGAAAAGTCCAGAGCCCAATAATGTCCAAACTGATTCTAAGAAGTGGTTGCATAATTAATATCGTTCAATTGTCCCATTTTATAATAATTGCTCATGGTGCTTGATCGCTGGATCTGATCCTGAAGAAATGATGTGAGTTTTTCAAGGATGAGAAGAAGTAGTGACGACCCGGCCATTATGGAATCCAATACAAGGATTTTTTTCAAGGATGGTAGTATGTTGAAGTAAGATTTGGTCTTCATTTCAGCATGTGCCAATTTTCTTGCATTTGCCGGCATATGCGGTACCTCTGTGCATGTGTGTGTGACGGTGTGTGTGTGTGTGTGTGTGTGTGTGTGTGTGTGTGTGTGTGTGTGTGTGCGCGCGCCTGTACGCTTGCATGTCTGTGTGTACATTCACACTTCTCTTTCTCTCTCTACATACAGACAATACCTGAATCACCACTCTACTATATATCACGTGGCAAGCTTGGTTCAGCAATGGACTCGCTACAAGACATTGCTCGTGGCAATGGCAAAGAGCTGCCCAGTGGACAGCTAGTAAAACGCTGTAATGCTCTCAGTACCGAAGGACTGGATCAGCCGGCAAAGGCTCAAGCGGATGCTCATGGCATACTTGATCTGTTCAGACCACTCAAAGGATTGGTCACCACGCTTCTCCTCTGGCTGATATGGTATGGGTATGAACATATTATAAATACATGTACAGTCGACTCCACTTATAGCGAACTCGCATATAGCGAACCTTTGTCCATGTCCCTGTTGGAACCCACACAAAATTAGGCCGATACGAAATTGACGCTTTTTATAGCGAAAGATTTTCGTTTATAGTCAACCAAAATCTTGTAGGGCCGCAAGTAAACCAAGTGCACTCATGCAGACATGGGCCGCTCGCCAGTCATTACTTGATGCTTGTATAGTGTGAGTGCATCTCTGTTATAGCTAACTTGGGCTATGAAGAATTAATTCTCCTGCACAATGGTGTTCGTTATATCAGGAGTCGACTGTATTATGGATCCGCATGCAGGGCGGGTCAAGAACCACCTTTCCGCTTCCGTGGGATTCCACCGCCCCATGATCAGGAGGCGTCTATGCAGCTCCTAAATGGTGGGGTAAATGGAATATTTCTAGCTACCGGTAGTATCAAGATGTGGACAGAACCAACTGAGTATTTAAACTTGACTGCAGTAAAATTGGGCAACGAAGAACAGGGCACATCGCTTCAGGGTAATGTTCTTTTTCCTATTTTCAAAAATCCAGCATCTTTGTTCTCATTCTCGGCTCGAAATGTACAATGCACTATTGCAGGCAGGGTCAAACGACCTGGATTTTGATGGGTTTTCCCAATTCAGTGCTCTTGGGGCAAAACCTGGCCGAAATACTATTCTTGCTATGGCTTGCTTTTTGGAGGAATAGACTTCAGAAACATAATTGGAAAAGGATTCCATAGCGGATCGCAGAAAACAATTCTAAAAAAACTCAACGTTTGACCCATTTATTGCCAAAAGCTAGAAGTCCATCTTTTTCTGAATGGACTGTAGTCGTCCATTGTATAAGTGTGGAGATGGCACGGGGCTGGGAGCAGGTGAAGAAAGTAGACTGCAACAGTACACCCCCCCCCCCCCCCCCCTCACACACACGCAATGCAATGCACCCTCCCCAATGGGCTGGTCAAACAACTGAAAGGCACGACTAGCCAGCGGGTGGCTGCTGCATCGCTGCCCGTATACGTGTGAAGTCAATTTTGAAGGACGGTCAGGGCTCACCACGACCATACAAAGCGTCAATAACGGTCATTTGGATTTGACCAATCAGCGCACAGCAAAACGGGCTGTTTCTTGCAATTGTGGGGTGTTTTCTGAGTGGAGCTTGGCTGTATTCGTTGGTTTTAGACATTAGGCCATTGTGGATTCGTGTTCAGAAGGTGTGTCTTTGGGGGGTTACCGTCTCGAATTTTTCGATTTGGCCTTCGTTTGGCTGAGATCGGATGGTGAAATCACTCAAACGCGAAGGCGTGCAAACAAATGAATGAAGAGAAAATTAGAAATCGGGGACGGTAAACCGATAGAGAATTCCAAGACCTTGAAAATGAGCTATCAATGATGAGAATCGGCCAAGGAGAACCGCTGTTCTACTTTTTTGAAGACATCAAGGTCGGCCGTGCGTCGCCGCGCGCACCAACAAAAACTGGCAGCCGTGCGCATATCTGCAAGTGCAACAAGAAAGGGCGGAGGAGACAGCAAGCGTTCCAAGCGAAGAGTTTACCTTCGTGTTGACTCAAGCTAAGGACTCATGCCAGTCAGGGATCATACTAGTCACCTCTCATCATGGTCATGACTAAGGGATTCATTTGTGACAAGGAAACTCCCCACTCGCAGCGTGAAAGCTGCGAGGCCAAACAGAAAAGAGTGTGCCGAGTCGCGATCAGGAAACGCTGAGTTCTACTGACAACATTGGTTAGCTAGGCGCGGCAAATTCTTGTAGATGCCAGGACTCAAGTTCACCAGTACCCCACGGACATATCTTGGTCGACACCCACCAGCGGATTGAGAAAAATGACCAAGATTGCTTGGAGAAAGGACGTCTTCTCCGCGTGTCTTTCTCGACATCAAACAACAAGATTCGCTTCGGCACTGGCCCTTCGCTGTACAGAGTAGACCAGGAAGTCGTAAAATACCGGTATTTTACGACTAGACTGTACATCGCTGTACATCGATGAGCATGAACTCGGGTGCGTAGCCGCTATGACTGCACAAACTCTGGCTTTGGCGGCATTCAAAATGGTGGTCGACGCTTTTTGAATTTTGTATGGTCGTGGTGAGCCCTGAAGGTGTAAGTTAAGTTCGAGGTGAGGGAAAAATGACAATAAGGGAGTGTTTAACCCTTTGGCCGGGTTTCACATAATCAGTGCACGTTTAGTCCCTAAATTTATGAATCCTATGCGTCTGTTTATCCCCCCCCCCCCCCCCCCCCCCGTACACACACGCACAATGCCATACCCCCTCCCTCCTCTATAGGCTGCTGAGGAGGTCATGTGTATGCCTTCCGCATCATACACTAAAAGTATGAAAGGCTAGGGTATGGCCGGACCAATCAAGAACTGCTCCCGCCGGGCCTCGGGGACAGTAGTGCCCCCCCCCCCCCTACCCTACCCCCCACACACAGCCACAATGCAATACCCCTCCCTCCTTAATGAGCTCTCAAAATTTCAAAATTTGCTAAAGCACAACTACTGTATTTAAAAGCAGAAATTTTCTGTGGTGTTTTATTTTCGGTAACTTCGGTGCCGACAATTATTACCGAAAAAATAAAACACACCGAAAATGCCGGTACAACCTGTACTGTATCCAGTCATGTAGTACTAGTACACTTACCTGGAAAATGACGACGGTACTACCGAAAATTTCCCTCCGCCGAACCGCCGATTTTGGAGAGTACCAAAAATATTACACCACCTAAAATTCTGCTTTTGCAGTGGCAGGGCGGCTAGTCATGCAGTTCATGTGGTATGACTGATGTTGAATGTTCTTCATTTCCATCTACATGTTTTGTGTTCAGGTTTCTGATAGCTTTCACGTATTTCGGAGTGCTGCTCATGACAACAGAGCTGCTAGAAATGTATCACGGCGTAGATGATGCCGCGGTGCAGTGTCTAGGTGAGTGTAGAACCGCATATGTGCGTGTGCATGTGTGTGTGTGTGTGAGTGTGTGTGTGTTTGTGTGTGTGTGTGTGTGTGTGTATGTGTGTGTGGGTGTGTGTGGGTGTGTGTGGGTGTTTGTGTGTGTGTGTGTTTGTGTGGGTGTATGTGTGTGTGCGCGCGCGCATGTGTGCACGTGTGTGTGTGTGTGTGTGTGTGTGTGTGTGTGTGTGTGTGTGTGTGTGTGTGTGTGTGCATGTGTGTGATTCTTGGTCATCCTATACGGCTGTCTGTGTTGTCTTGTAGATAAGGTAGCCGTGGAGAAGGTTGGAGACTGTCATCATTTGGACAAGAAAGACTACTTGGATGTGCTTTGGACATCTTTAGCCGAGCTACCCGGTGAGTTGTGTACTGAAGCCTTTGCAGGTCAGACACCCTTAGCCATATCGAGTGAATTCCAGTCAGTCTATACATGGCAGGGTCAGTCTATACATGGCAGGGTCAGTCTATACATGGCAGGGGCAGCGTCGGAAGGTATTTAGTTTAGGGTGGTACGGTAATCCAGCTCAAGTACAAATTACTCCTGGGGTTCGGGTGGTTTCTCTGAAAAATTTCGAAATTTAGAGCCCAAATCAGTGCTCTTCATTGATTCATGGGGTAGCTCAGTGGGGCAAAGAGTGGTACGGTCAATACCGTAGTGACCCCCGTAGCATGTCCGACACTCCTGCCCCTGTATGCTGTGCTTGGTCCAGACCACACACCTCCGAAGATGGTTTGTTATTCTCACTCAGACCACAACCCTGCCTTGCCCGACAGTTCTATCTCTCCTGCCACAACTCTTGCCCCCCCCCCCCCCCCCCCCGCCACACACACACGCACAGAGCTACTACCGCTTGCTTGGCCCGACTCTTGGCCGAAGGCTTGGAACTGTGTGACTTATTGTTTGCTGGTATGTTTTGGGTGAACTTTGCACGAACCATGCCAATTGAGTTATCTTTCAAAGATTCCCTTTGGATTGGATCTCTCCTCTCCCGCGAAATCCACGGGGCCTGTTCCTAGCAGTGAGCAAGTACAAATTCAATTGCGTGTTTCTGTCTGTGTGTGTGTGTGTGTGTGTGTGTGTGTGTGTGTGTGTGTGTGTGTGTGTGTGTGTGTGTGTGTGTGTGTGTGTGTGTGTGTGTGTGTGTGCGCGTGTATGTGTGTGGTGGTGTGTGTGTCGGTCTGTGTGTGCGCGTGTGTGTGTGTGTGCGTGTGTGTGTGTGTGTGTGTGTGTGTGTGTGTGTGTGTGTGTGTGTGTGTGTGTGTGTGCGTGCATGTGTGAATATGTGAATATGTGCATGCATTGCAGCCATTGCGATATGCTATGGTTTGAACCACATCCTGCGGCGGCGTGCCAGTATTGCCGTGCACAGTGTGTGTGCTAGCGTGATGGGTGCCTTCCTCATCATATGTCCACTCTCAAGGTAAACTTACTACATCAGTACATGCCGGGATGGTGGTGGTAATGGTTGTTGTCATGACCGTGTAGTCTTCCCTGGCCTTGACGCCACGTGCCCGTCCTATCGGCTTGTTTTGCAGTAGTGATCAGTCACTGTTGCATTGACCGATATAAAAGAGCTATTAGAGAGGTTCCGGGGTACAATTTTCCGTGCCAAAATCCGTGTGGGCGCTACGGATTTTTCCAGGAGTGCTGCATACGATTTTTCGGCACGGAGAATCCGTGTGGACTGGCTTTCACACGAACCATGTTTCGTATGGAGATTTTGCGTCATCGGGTGCAGAAAGATTTTTCGCGTACAAATTTGGTACGAGAAACATGAATTTTCCGTGGGAAGTTTTGATTTCGGTACAAATTTTCAAAATATAAAGGCATAGCGCGGAAATGTGACGTGTTTGCGATCGTAACCTAGGCAATGGCAGCAAACACATTAGTTCCGTACTCCGGAACATTTCATTGCTCGAAAACGACGTATAAAATATCCGTAGCGCCTCTACGTATTTTGGCACGAAAAATCGTCCTCCGGAACCTCCCTATTATTTAAGACTTACCACATTTTGAGTATTATTATTGTTATTCTTTATTTCCACGATGGCCCATGGCCAATAAGGAAGATAATTATTGTTATCACATGGCACGTGATTGTTGCCCGTACTCCAGCGAATCAGCACCTTTCGCGCCGCGGGCAATAATATGCGATATTGCCCGCAAAAAAATAGTTTATTTGCCCGCAAAAAAATAGTTTATTTCAGTGATCGCGTGACTAGACTGTACTGTACGAGTCTACGACGACTCTGTAGACTGTACGACTCTACGACGAGTCGCAGTGTAGCATTGAGACGAAGATGGAATTGTTTTTGGAGATGGACGTCCCGGCAATGGACATGGCCTCGGACGTCTGCCGTGTGGTGCTTGCAGGGATCATTTGTTCAGTCATGTTGGCAGCCTGACCGTCGGTAAGCTTGTGGATAAGATTCAGTTCTGCTCGATGTGCACATGTGGTACTGTGATCACAAACAATTATTTGAAATAACACAAATAAATTCAACTCCGCATCGTGCGTTTTCAGATCCTCGCAGTCACTGCCTGTGTGTGGTCTTCATGTGCCACGCATAACTCTTACCAGGGTCATCTGTCCTCTGCCTTCACCTTTGCTTGAACAACAAACACAACAATTCAGGAATGTTTTGCAATGAAAAATACAGCTATCTGGAGCTGATAAAAAGAAGACAAATTGTCCTCAGAATTACACACCAGGGAGTCGTCAAACACTTGCAGTACTGTATTTGACAACTTCCTGATACACATGTAAACATGAAGAAACTCTTCAGTGGTAGCACTCTTTTCAACTGAAATAAAATTCTGCTGTGTTTTATTGTGGTTGCCATGTCTATTGCCATGACGATGCCGTGCCGGCACTTTTTTCTGTCTCCGTCTTTCAGTACTGTATACTCTCTGATGGCCTGTAGCAGACTTTTTGTTAGGGTGTAGGAGAAATATCTTCATTTTTCCTGTTTTGATAATGATAGCACATCAATATACATTGTGGTCATAATGTGTTGGCATTTGGGATAGTTTCAACAGCAGCCCAATGGTCTGCTCTGTGGGCCATGTGATAAATTTGTTATCGCATGGTTGCTGCGGGCCTTATGGCATATTATTGCCCCTCGAGGTTAGCCCTCGGGCCTACGGCCCTTGGGCTAACCTCTCGGGGCAATAATATGCCATAAGGCCCTTGCAACCATGCGATAACATATACTGATTCAAATCAGTCCAGAATCATATAAGATCTGTCTAGCAAGTAAGGAAGCCAACACTGCATAGTCAGAGTATAAGCTGCACTGGAGGATAAGCTGCACTGGAGGATAAGTCGCACCCGGATATCTACAGTCAACTTCGCTTATAACGACACTCGGCGGGGCATCAGAAAAGTGTCCTTATCCGCGAAGTGTCGTTATACCCGAAGCCTCATTCTATGTATTACAGTTGGATGGGACTTTGATCTGGGCATGGAAATTCTGTAGTTATTCGCGAATTGTCGTTATATCCGCAGTCGTTATTAGCGAAGTTGACCGTACCCCAATTTACAGCACCGTCAATTTGACCATCGTAGTATAAGACTTGTTTAGGTGATTTGCTGGTGTTTAATGTGCGCCTTATACCTCCAGAACAAACAGTACTAATTACTAGTCCTGGGATCTAAGCGATAATCGACCTTATGGCTTTCTCCTCTAAGTAAACTGATTGTTAACAATGTTCCAGACGTTTCGTATAATACATCTTTTGTAGCGTTCGACGGATCAGGCAACAATGAAAATGGCTACGGAAATCATTAGACCTGTCAGGCTGTCGCGGCATGGTGCAAACTTCAAAAGTTTCGTAAACGCTCGTACGTCCGTACCCATGCGGCGCAGCCTTGTGCAGGGGAGCGTTTGGTTTACAGCTGTTCTTGGGGTAGCTGAAAACTCCGATGAAATCAATGAAATCCGGTCAAGAAGTCAATGCCGCGCCGTCCTCTGTGCAGCCCAAGACCTGTGAACAGTAGGACGTGTTAGCTGGGTGCAGTACGTCAACTGGACTCAAGCGGTCGGATTTTATTGGGTAGCACTGTACCACTGTTTTCACAGGCATGGAGGCATGGAGGCATGGAGCGCTTGGGTTGCAAGTGGAGCGCTTGGATTTGCAATGAAGCCGAGACCCTATGGTCAGTCAAGCTGCCCCTGCCTCTCCTTCACTCCTGCCACTCCATATGTCTCATCGTTGCCTTGCTGCTTTTGTGCCGTCAAATGGTCAGGGCCTGCTGGAGAGCCGGGTCAGCCGGGTCACGCGCCCGGCTGGGGAACTGCACGACCTGGCTGAACTGATAACACCGGGTCCAGTCTGACCCGGCTGAAAATTGTCTCAAACTGACAATGGATTCCTAAAATACCGGTATTTTACGATTCACGGACCCCATCTGTTGCAAATCTAGCGCAACCGTACGAGGGACACTACAGTCTAAAAGAGACAGAAACTCGGCTAGGGTCAACTGGGGTCAACTGGTTGTTGTTTGTATTTACAGTAGGTATCGCCAATCGGTTATAGCGTGGGTGTTTCAAAAACGACTTTCTATTCTTATTTCCGATATTTCTTACACACGATAAATCAAGTGTGGCATATATTATGCATGTGCGCATGGGCAGGAAGATGCAACGCAGTACTTCTGTGCATGTGGCTGGTCATAGTCCCATAGGCTTACCATGTGGCTATGCAACATGGGTTACATGACCACAACATTGGAATCTGCAGCACTACGACGCAACGAGAGTCAGATCAGAACGGAAATGGACAGATGTAATTACTACAGGCGATACACTTTGTACTAATCTGGCATGTTTCGCGACACAAAGTCCATTCTTAGGACCGATATATTCTACTATGGGATAAAATTGCTTGTAAGAATAAATGTGCACTTGAAATCCATACGAACTTAGAAGTTGCGACTTCGGCGGTAATAGTCATGAAGTTGATTGTTCCAACTAGGAACACACGCTTCTTGCCGAACTTGACACTTGACTGACTCACGACTGCCATCCGGAGCACACGAGGAGCACGTCGCACCTTCCACTCGGCAAACCTGCAAGAAAGCACCACTCCCTGCTCAATACACGGTGTTTCGGGGAATTCACCCCTCATCAGTTGAGCTTGAGTAGGCTGAGGAAGATTGTGCCTGAAAAGCACCACTTATATACTGCTCTCCAGGCCAAACCATCACCAGGGATACAAACTTACAGAGACGCTTTGTTTCCAGCGCGACAAACACCTCGTGAAGCTCCAGGTAGCAGCGTGAGTCAGAGTCGCTCATGGAGTTGTGATAAACAGACGTTGAGAGCCAGTATAGCTATTCGCAACGCTGTCACCTCCAACAACTAGTCGCACGTCCGCGTGAGGGACAACAATACGAACTTAGAAGTTGCGACTTCGGCGGTAATAGTCATGAAGTTGATTGTTCCAACTAGGAACACACGCTTCTTGCCGAACTTGACACTTGACTGACTCACGACTGCCATCCAGAGCACACGAGGAGCACGTCGCACCTTCCACTCGGCAAACCTGCAAGAAAGCTCCGGATGGCAGTCGTGAGTCAGTCAAGTGTCAAGTTCGGCAAGAAGCGTGTGTTCCTAGTTGGAACAATCAACTTCTTGAAATCCATGTTATGATTATGAAAACATGAGCGTTCATTCTTGTAGGCAGTATATTCTTTTACACGACCACGCTATAACCGATACGCACTGTATTTTGATTCGCAAATTCAAACGGGTATAGAACCCAATAACAAGAAAGCGAATATGAAAATTATAATGAGAATGAGAATTTAAAATACTTAGATCTTCAGCGTAGAGTCAGCGGTACATCAGAGGGAGATCGGGTACAACAGAAAGAGAACAGAAAAACAGAAGATTTCGCTTATCGGCTTTGCAAAGTTCGAGGGTACTGAATACCATGGCATGGCCAACTGTGTAGCAGTCTACAACGTGTAGGGAATGGCAGCTCGGCGGAATGCTGGGATGTTTCCCATGGCTCGCACCGTGTCAGGTACATAATTATGGTTCCATAACAGGCAACCGCGAGATGCCAGTCGGCATTGGCCTGCTCGGCTTCTGGCTATTTAATTGGTTCGAGCGCGATCTGGCCAGCGGCGAGCAGGAAGTCAGGACATTCAAAGTCGATGGGGCAGGCAGGCAAAAGCGTAACTTTGGCTATGGCTTTTGACACAGTTGCAAGTTTTCAGCCGACTGGTGATTTGGACGATGGAGCCTGCAGCGAAGAGAAAAAGAACTCACGCTTTCCAAGACTCTTGGAAAAAAAGGTCGACCCTGGCTGGACTACGACCATGCCAGTCTATCCATGTCATGCACTTTGTGCAAGACGCATTTCCAAAGGAAGACGAGCGGCGGTGGATTGCGGACTTTGATAGTTCGTCTTGTTCTCTAAAATTTCCGATTTCCGGTAATAAATTCGCCTTTCTGTTTTCCTGCGTTTTGAGCAGGCTTTTTGGTTGTTTTTCTGCCGGATGATTTGACCCGGCTTGACCCGGCTGGCCTGCATGCGCCAGGTACACTCTGACCGGGCTGTATTGAATGTCTAGAGCAGGCCCTGAGGGTGTGTGTTTTTTGTAAAAAAAATATACTTGTAAAAAAATGATTACTTGACCCAACTTAATCCTGCTGTTGTATGTTGCATGATTGTGATTCTCCTGTGTCCAGGGCTGGTGTTGTTGGATTGATATTTGGAATGCGCTCGTTCCTGTCATCATTATTTATAACCATGTACCTGTATACATCCGAGGTAAGTTGCCATGCTCTTGCCTATCTATGGTGCAGGCTATGTGCAGGCTAACTGTTATGTGCAGGCTATGTGCAGGCTATGTGCAGGTTATTTGCAGGTTGTGTGCAGGTTATGTGCAGGTTATGTGCAGGTTATGTGCAGGCTATGTGCAGGCTATGTGCAGGTTATGTGCAGGCTATGTGCAGGCTATGTGCAGGCTATGTGCAGGCTATGTGCAGGCTATATGCAAGAAGAATAGGGCGGAGGGTACGGCGGCTGCTAAGTGACGGCCATATGAGCCGGTGCTGCAGCACTGAGTGGGTTCTGTTTGACATATCACATCGCTGTCACATCACATCACATCACTGCCTGCTGTATTAAATTTTCTTCCCATGTCGCTGCAGGTTTATCCCACGGCAATGCGTGCTACAGGCCTGGGTGCCGCGTACACCTGGGGACGTGTCGGTGGTATTACCACGCCATTCATTTCACAGGTAGGGCATGTTCAGGCCTATTCCTTTACTGGACACATTTCAAACCAGTTCTAGATGAGCCTGAAGATGGGCCTGGCCCGAAAATGTTGATAAAACTTTATTATAGAATTGCGATCAACGGAACGAGCTGAATCAACATTTCTCAAAGGCTTTATTGTATTAAAAAAACGAGTGGATACGAAGGCGGTGAAGAACAGGGAAGGCTATTGTCGCCTCGACGCTTATTTACAAACTTTATTATTTTTGGAATAGTTGTAGACGAGAGACCGTTTTTGGGGTAGTGGTGTATGATTGCGCAAGGCCGTCACAGCCGGGGTGGCTGGGACGGCCGAGGCTGCCCCACTTTTTCGGCCGTTTTTTGTTTTTTTAGCACACTGCAACAAAGCGCAATGATCGCAGCTCAGCGCAAACGTGGCAAATCCTTGTCCCCGATCGTGGTTTGTTGCAGAAACGAAAAGTCTTTTATTGCAGTTACACTAAAATGGCACCCAATTGCCTAGAAATGCTTGCAATATTGGCTTCAATTTTTGAAATTTTTCCCGGGGAGGGTAATGTTTGTCCCCGATAGTAGCGTCTTCTTGGTTTGTTGCAGAATCAAAAAGTCTTCCATTGTAGTTACACTGAAATGGCACCAAGTGCACGGAAATGCTTGCAATTGGCTTCAATTGTTGAATTTTTTCGCGGGGAGGACTCCCCTTCCATGGCCGCCCCACCTCCAAAGTCGGTGCGACGGGCTTGTTGCGTGGGAGATGAAGTGGCTACAGTGAAATCACGAGGAAAGTTCTAGATAAGCGTGCTTACCTTCGCATAAGCCGGGAAAATACAGTTGTGACGGGCTCTCATGCATGCACGATGGATCTATTAGCTTCCCCCGTCTGTATCTACTGTGTGGACACTGGAAACCTCTGCATGGTGATAAATGCCGGGCATGGAGCTCTGCTCAGGCATTGGAGCTCTGCTCGGGCTTTGGAGCACTCTTCGAGCATTGGAGCACCCTGGTTAGTTACTTGGTTACATTTTGTTAGGTGTTCTATATAAACCACCATTTCTCTGCTAATCGGTTACATTATTTTTTTATTAATAAAAAGCCCGTGGCCCGCGGTTGGGCCAGCATGACCAGCATGAAACCAGCATGATGATATTTGACCGTCCTGTGATCCTGCTGTCTGTATCAACAGGTGATGTTACGCCATACCATACGTGGCACAAAGCTATTCTACGCTCTCACTTCGCTACTCATTGGCGTTGCCGGCTTGCTACTGCCGTATGAGACAAAGGGTCGTAGCTTGGAGGTAAGCTGTGTTAATTTTTATGACAAGGAGGTACTGTATCATCATGTGTGTTGTACTGCTGATATAATAATGGTTGATGGCATCAAGAAAAAGAAGAAGAAGAAATTGGTATGCTAAACCTCCCTAGCGACAGAGCCATGATTGGTAGCTGCTAGGACATGATCGATTCAAACTAAGATGTCTCTGGTTAGGTTAGTCCAACTCCTTCGCTGCTGCACCAATCTCGTCCCAGTCCAAATGCCTTGTCGTCAGCCCTGACAGCAATGAACGTGGCCTGATTCCCCGGCTTCATGTCCCTCCTGAGCATCGGCAGCGGTATAGAGGTTCTGCAGAATGATAGTTATCATTGTGGTGAGTCAGTTGAACTGCTTATCAACTTTATGTATGTAGCGTGAGTCGCTAGTGAGTTGCCAGTGCATCGCTGTGCCATGACTTGCCAGAGCATCTCGAGTCAACTGCCGATGCCGATAGTGTAATCTCATAACTTCTATTCAAGGTGGTGCTGTCCCGCCCGTCACTCCATCGTTTTTTTTTTCCCCGCCTGTTGTTTCATTACCGGGACAAGGTCAGACTCACCGCAGTTATCTAGCTCATATCTGAATTGTACAAAGATCAGAGATGGTACGTAGTGAGCGGGGAAGCAGGCATCTGCTTTGGGCGTTTCTATAAGGTCCATTACATCAGACTTGAAACTGAGGCTGACCGACCATGTGTTTTCAGCACTGTCTGTTGGTATGAAGGATTGTAGAAAAGAACCAAGCACAGAGCACACTACAGTCAGACCTCGCTTATCCGGTCCTCGTTTATCCGGATCCCTCGCCATCCGGTAGAAAATCGTTGGTTACCGATTTACAGCATATGCCATGCACACATACAGTATGTGTGTTCGATTATCCGGTTCCCTCGCCTATCCGGATATTTTTCTGGATAACGGATGTGTGCGGTTGTGCGAGGTCTGACGGTATTAATAGTAGAACCAAACTGTAGCTGAGTTTTAAATGAACAGACTAGACTGTGTAGGTGTCCCGGTGGTCATTGTGCTGCACAAACCCTTGAACAATCAGATAAACAGTGGCATGTTCACTGCCGGGGCCTGTTGCAGAGGCAAGGAAATAAATTGAAGGAATGCAGACGTTTTAATTAACCCTTTAAGAGCCGCCCCATACTTGAATGCGTCGTTTACGACGCATTCAAATGCAAACCTCAAAAGATCGTAACTCAGTTCAATCTCGCTCAAATCCAGTGATCGAAATATCCAGGGCGAAGAGAAAACTCTCACCTGTCGGGAGAAACAATCCGCCAAGCCCTGCGAGCAACGGTTCCTGAGATAAATCACTCGTAAGTTGAGCCGCGATCGCGGCAATTTCAAAAGCGCGCAGTGCGACTTTAGTATTGAGAATTTTGAGACTTTTCGTCACGCTGGTTTACTCGAATTTGCACGGGTTTCACTGTTGATATTGTCAAGAGTACACAGCGAAAAAATTGGAACTCCACGATCGAGTAAAATGAAATATCTGGAGCGGGACGCAATTGGACGCATTTGGGGCATTTTTCGTACTGTCGCTGTGATCTAGCGCTGGATAGACGGTGTGCTGGCTATCATGATCGACCTCATTCTCTTCCTCTCGCGGAGACCTTTCCAGGAAGCCCTAGATTGTGTGGATTGAGTGAGTAGAACTGAAGCTATGATCCAAGGAACACGAAAAATGCAGAATTTTGAAAATTTCCTGTGGCTCTTAAAAAGGGTTAAGTGCGGGGCATGCTTGTACAAATAGCACTGACTCCAGACCGAGAGCGACCGAAGAACTCGTGCCATGAGGTGCATGCACAGTTCTATTCGGTTCTCATGCAACTACTTCGAGTAAAACATCACTGTTCGATTAAAACATATTCTGGAAATGACGGCGCTAAAATAGTCCATCCGGGGTCACTAATTGTTTTTGCGAAACGATTTTTATTTAGTATTGTTCATCCCCACCCAGCTACCCACCTACCCACCCACCCCCAGGCGAAAACATTTCGTTTTTAAAATACTATTGGTTAACTTGGATGGTCCCTAAAAGGAATCGTTGAAATTGTAGATAAAGTTACAAGTCTCTGGACTGTTGCTGCTTTGTGTGTTGGATGCAGGATGGCTGGGGTACCTGACAGCTTTGCAGCATAACGTCAGGATAGCCAGGAGTGCTGAAACGACTAGCTACCCTGTTGGTTGATGCCTGCTTCGAGTCAGCACGCTCAGGCTGCTGCAAGCCGGGTATTTATATCCAGGTGGAATGCAACTAAGACCTGCCCAAGGTCTAAAAGAGCAAACTGTTGTCTTGGGACTACGCACTAGTGTTCCGACGTGTTTAGCCCTGAGTCGGCTAATCCTTGATTGAGAAAGCTGGCTAGTCATGTTGCTCTGGTATGCACCCATGCACTATTAAACAGTCACCTGGAACTAAAAAAAACTTCACCCAAAGGGTTCTTTTGCACAATGCAGTTGACTCAATTTCCTATATTTCCGAAACACTGAGGCGAAGACGTATCTGGATTTCTGTGTGTGTGTGTATGCATGTTTTTGGGCTGACGTCAATAGCAAGTTGCTGCAGGTTATGTGGTGCGTTTTGACTTTTGAGAAATAAACTGTACCAGCGTATTCTCTGTGATTCAAAACTAGTATGAGACGCAGAGAACAATAACAGTAGGCAATCTTGGCGTATATCGCACTTTGCAAGCGGGACGTTCACCAGTTATTTCTCTACCAGCATGGGCATGTAATCAGCTGGTTTTGGCGGTGCATTCGACGCTAACGCGTTGATGGCATTCTTATGAACCGTGATCATCAATTATTATTGGACTGCCATGATATCTATTTCCCACTATCATTACAATGTGAATACAATTTCCTACGATTTCAACAGTCCTAAATAAGTTCCTGTGTTCACACAAGTGTATTCCTTGATATTTCTAACCCAAACAATTTCTTGTCATGACGAACAAATTGATGTTATTGGTGTTTAGCACATTCTGTGTGCTGATTATTATCAATTTCTCACACTATTTTGTGCAGCAATTCATACAAATTCCTGCAAAGCGGACACCGTAAATTATTATTTTGCTGAGAACTTGCTACTGTAGTGGTTTGGATTTGGAGGGAATTGTTTGTTCATGATTCTTGTGTCACGTGGAGCAGAAAGGAAGCGTGCACACATACGCCGTCCACATGATCGGCACGAGAGTTCCCACACCCCAACACACACACACACACACACACACACACACACACACACACACACACACACACACACACACACACACACACACACACACACACACACACACACACACACAGTTGCACTGTCACTGTCATTACACACGGGAGCCGTGCATGCCAGGCTGCCAATCCAGTGTGTGCAACGGCTCAGCGCACTGCTACTACTAATCCTCTGTGTCTGACTGTAGTCTTGTGCTGCTGCGTCTGCGAACTGCATCCTCAACACAGGACCAAAAGAGCTCAACGGGAAAGGATAGCGTTAGAAATTCATTGAAGGATTGCTCACTGTACATATGGATCAACTGCTGAAGAAACATAGTACATAACAGGGCATAAAATAAAAAAAGGATAAAAGCAGATCAACTTAAGTACTTACTATGTACGTAGAGATCAACAAGCTTTAGAAGAGCAATGCATGTACAAAGTCATGTACAAGCACACATGTGCTGGCATTACGGTCACATTTACCTATAAACCTCATGCCAATTGCCATGCACTCCAACAAGCATCGAGAAGAGGAGTACGAGTAGTTAGAGTACAATGTCACCTACAGAATAGAAAGCACGTCCACAGCACAGTTGGGTGGTAGAAAGGTGAAACGGCTGCACCGTAGCACTCCACTTATGCACACAACTGGGGTTGCACACTGTACAGCCGGCAAGCACTCTCATCAACCAATCTTTCCGGCTTTACGGTAACATAGAAGAGCACATCGAAGTCCATGTCGTATAATTACGGCAATAGATATATTCGCTGCCGCTGCTCCCTCACTCTTAAAGACACAGCACCAGCAGCAGCAACAACAGCAGCAGCAGCAACAGCAGCAGCAGCAGTTAGCCGTTATGAAAAGGAAGAGCACACAAGGCACAGAGGCGACTACACTGGCATCTGGTACCAACACAGTACAAGCAAAGTACTGCAAGCAAAGTACTGCAAGCAAAGTAACTGCTATGCTTGCCAGGGAGCACAACGAACATAGACACACCACTACACCCACAGCACCCACAGCACCCATAGCCATCGTTGTACAACGACCATGAACACATCATTACACCCACCGTGCCTATAGCCATTGTTGCTATTGCTTCTGCTGCCCCTATAACCGTCGCTCTAAGACTTTGCTGCCGGCTTGAAGGACAGCAGGGAGCCAAAGACAAAGTGCTGCATTACGGGAAACTTGCCAAACACCTCAGCTTTGAACATCTTCGACAGACCAGAGTTGACCTTGCTCCAGTACTTCACTGCGCTGATGTTCCACAGCACATTGCTGTGCTCGGCGAATGGACCCGTCTTCATTTCGCACGTGAACGCAACCGCGCTCATAAACATGTACTGGTCGGCGTATTTCTGCGCAAACCCATCGTTTGGAAACTGGTCTGGCTCGATCACACCGTTGTCGATCAGCTGTGCTGAGCCGAAGAGGAAGGGCAGGAACTGATAGTCATCCAGACCCCACACGCCCTGGCTACCTGCTGGTTCCATACGATAAGTCTTCTGCAGGCATCTCATGAGCTGGATATAGCGCTGGAATACCAGCAGGACCAGGGTAGGGCTGTCCGACTGCTCTATGATCCCTAGCTTGCACAGGCAGCAGAGAAACGCGACAAAGTTCGCCTCGTGTCCACTGCCGTAGTCGATGCGCCGACTGTTGCCAAATGCATCGGTGAAGTAAGCTTGCAGCTCCACCACAGCTCCAGCAAGACCCTCAGGTAAAAGACTGGTGATCAGCTCTGCATTTCTCTCCACAAGCCGCTCCTGCCATTTTCTGTAGGCTTTATTACCAAATCGTCCAACTTGATCATCCTCAGCTGGGATTTCCACTATCCACGATTGAAGTGTCTCTAGGACACTGAGGATTTTCTTCAGGATCTCTGACGGAGCAGCCACTTCAGAGTTCTGCTTTCTCTTTACACTGTCGTTCAACGCTGAGATGAAGCCCATCAAGTCTTCGTAGGCACTAGATTTCTGCCATACTTCAACGTCGGACACGTCCAGAATGCAACGCACTGGTTTCTTGAACTCCATCTCCTTCTGGGTTGCTGATAACGCCATCCTCTTTGTTTATGCCGCACTACAGCCAAAACAACGGCAAGAACCAGATATTGTGTGTCCACTGAAATATCAAAATGCCTTCACCACCAGAATGCAGAACCTGACTTCTCTCGTGAGACCAAAAACTCAAAACGACAGCAAAATGTTTCAAAAGTGCATTCAATGACATTACCATTACGTCATCGTTCTTATTACATTATGTAACACATAATAATAAACATTCATTGTAGAAAATGATTACAATAGTAGATCTACGTACACTATGCTGAATACAGTATAGAACCATGCTAGGCAAGAGTGCATGTTTATGTACTCTTGGTAGTACTAATAGGTTGTCTACCAATCCATGTGGACCACATCTGTAAGGCCCCTCCCTTGAGCAGCCGGCCTGCCCGGGCCACGTTCCACTGTGCAACCTTGATGTTGTACGGGTGGACATCAATTGCATGTCAGTGATGCGGCATTCCGTTATCCGTGATGTCGGCGATCTGACAGCTCATTTACCGTGTACACACAATCTTACTTCAAGCAAACGTGGACAGTGAACATCATCAACGTTGTCCTCATACAACGCTATAATTATACAACTTATAAGTATCATCAAAGTCGCACCAACCTCTTCTTTATTATAATACAAGTCAGTCAAAATCAGTCACAGTCAGTCAGTCTAACTCTAGCAAGCATATACATGAGCACAAATTAATGAATGTCTCCGGCTAATCGAACATCCACATAATCATTACAAAGAATACAGGTAGACTCATGGCTCATGCAGTAGAGTGCTTTGATGTGTGAATACAGTACCATACAATACAGCTATGTAGCTTCAGTCAACTGTAGTCATAAAAAAGGCTAACCAAACTAATGCGCGAAGGCATGCTATGTAGCAGCAGCAGCAGCAGTGGCAGCAGCCGGGGATCCTGCTGACTGTGCAGCTGAGCCGGTCGATCCAGCAGCACTTGCGGCTGTGCCACTGCTACTTGCACCACTGCTGCTCGACTCACTCTCTGCATCACTCTCATCCGAACTTCCAGAGTCAACGCCAGTGAAACGGTCCAGTGCACGCATCGTGGCACGCTTGCGCTTGCCCGAGCTGACTAAATCGCTTGACGCCGGGCGCTTGAGAGACGACATTGATGTGGCTGTGGTACTGGATGCCACTCCACGCTGCTTCTGCGCCTCCATACCCATGCGAACACTGTCCTCAGTTTTTTCAGCACGGTCTTGAAGCTCCGTTAGGTATGTAGTACTGTCAAACGTGCTCTTTGGCTCAGCCAACATGCGCTCCCGTCGATGCTTTCGAGCCTCTTCCCGTTCCTTTTCACGCTCCGCTTCACCTTTCTGCCATTCCTCTACAGCTTTGTCAGCCTTTACGTCGCGGATTCGTCTGCCATTCAAATCGCGACAAGCGTCCTTGTTGGTCGTTTTCTCGATTTGATTTCCAATTGTTCTCAGCATGGATCCGAAGCCTCCTTTGCCACCAATTAGACGTGGAACACATCTTACCATCAGGACTTCGTCATCGTTACCGATAACACTATCAGCAGCAAGGAGCTTTCCCTGATGGAGAAGGAAATAGTCGTCCAAGGAAGGGACATGCTGTTCAACAAACTGCTTCAGGCTGCAACCTAGTTCAGAATCCCTTGCGTGTAGTGCACGGCAGCCCTCAGGAAGATCCACCAAAATATTCACACCCATGGTGAGAAACTAATTCAGGCTTCAATGAAATGCAGGGCTGTGTACCAGCTAGACCCTTCCACAAGCAGAAGTAAACCACTCTCGCTCTGAGCTCGCCAAGAAGACAACCAAACTTCAAACAAAGTCAGCAGGATCTAGGACTGGAAAAGCAAACATCTCTTCCCTAGAATGACGTCAGGTCAGAAGAAAAAATATTTTTTGCAGAAGCCAGAAGCTTGTGCGTGGATGTTGACGTCAGCGCCAGTTGTTTGAAAATGAAAGCCCAAAATACTTTCGATTTTTAAATATCTGATGAGTGAAATAATTCTCAACAAAACAATAATGTAGGAGTGGTGGAATACCACTCTTATGTAGCACCGATGAAATATCACTCGGAGGAGCAACAAAGTCGTTCAGCACATCAGTATTCTCCTGTATTTGCTCGTTCCGTATGAACCATGGAGCTGGCAGTGGTTGCTGTAGCTGAGACCTCGCCAAATTGTACTTTCGAGAATCTTGCAGAGGCTTTGGATGTCTGGTGTTTGCGTCCTCATGTTTTAAACAAGCGTATTGCATCTTGTCGAGTACTACACACGGTGCGAATAAGCAGGCCACAACTAGAAGAAGCCGTAGCAAGCGACCAGGTCTCAGAAAAACTACGCAATGCTGAATTTGATTTGCCTGAAGAAGACAGCGACTGTGTCATTGAGTGTAGAATTCGTGAGCTGACTAGTCGTCCTAATAAGTCTGGTGATGTACATAGGACATATGAGCTAATCGTAATAGGTAAGTTTCATAAGGTTGCCCTGTGCGCAGATTGTATTTTTTGCTAATACAATGGCATCTTGTTAAGAATGTACAATCATTTTGTTTTATTACTGTTATCAGTAGTGATCAAACGAGCTACTAGTATCGGGCAGGCCCGCCGCTATCGGGTCAGGTATTGGGTACCCTATACCTAACGCACAGTGGTTGAATGCAGCCATATCCATGCACCTGTGCTCATGCAGGGCACCGCACTCACAGGGCTTGTGAGTATGCTTAGGCATCTGTGGTTAGCACAACGAAAAACGGAAGCACACACACACACACACACAGAGTAAACACAGTACACACACACACACACACACACACACACACACACACACACACACACACACACACACACACACACACACACACACACACACACACACACACACACAGAGTACACACAGTACACACACACACACACACACACACACACACACACACACACACACACACACACACACACAAAATCAGATACAGTGCACTGACTGCCGCTATCTGGTATCTTGAATGTGAACTAGCTCAAGTAGAGCAAGATTTGAAATGGGGTAGCGGCCGTGCTCGCATTGGCAGACCTTGAAGAGAGGAGATCGATGTATTTCATCTTTTGCTTCTATTAAACCGATCCCGGCAAGGGTTAGGTCAGTGGTGAAGATATGATTTTTCTCTTACTCGCCCTGGACGATGAATGCAGTGAGATGTGTGTTACAGAGGAGAAAGATTTTCGTCTCCAAGTTCAAACTGATAAACAATGTACATAGCATTTCCATTTTCCACAAGGATGGGATAATAGTGCAAGTACGCTTGTAGAAAGCTGAGCTTTGAATCCCGGACGTTATGATTGTATTCTCAAACTCATGTAGCATGGAGTGAAATTGAAGGCCTCTGCATTCTTCTCAGAGGATTGGCATGCCCTAATCGGCTTCTTGAAGTATCAAGCTTGTTTGGCACATCAAGGATTATTATTCGGGGTGGGGGTTGTGCTGGCGTCTTGTGGCTTTTGCTCGACAGTCTACGTGGAGTAACTTGCAGCTCTGTGCTGCTACTACGGAGCACAGTATTCATGGAGAGAACAGGCATAGTAATGGAGATTGGATATACATGTAATGACACTCTTTCGGGAGACTGGTCCTCTGAGCATCCTTCTGCGCAGGCCACGAGTGGAAATATTATGACATTCCGCCCCTTGGGGATTCGAGCCACCTTCGAGCCAAGTTACGCACACAGAGAGAGAGCAGAGGGTACAGGTACATTATTATCACACCGTAATAATTATTTTTTGCTGTATGAGCAGATTACGCCCATGATTAACGAACAACTAAAATTTTTTGTTGTGAATTCGGTACTCACTGTACAAAACCGTGGAAAAGAGTTCACGTATACATTATCTGTACGGAAAAGTAGCATGCATGCAGCAGCCACGCACGGGGTCAAGACGAATTTCGCGTCATTGAACAGTGTATACCGAGAAATGAGAACAATGGAGAATAAAATAGAATGATATAGAGCAATATCGTTCAGCGTATTGACGACTCGGCTACAAATTGTACTTCTGCATGAGTGCAGCCGTAAACGCAGCATTGCTCTGCTGCAAGGCCTGCGTGTGCCATTGTTGACCCTCTTCCAGTGCTGTCATCACCTTTATGTCTTCGCGTCGCCTTTCTGACTCTACTTTCTCCTTCTCAGCATCGCGCTTGTGCAAATACCCAGCCCACTGGGTCTGCATGTTGACCTCATGCTCGAACTGCCTTGACTGCAGCTCAAGGTTGATGTCCTCGAGTTCCCGCAAGAAAGCGACCTGGCTCTGGCCTTTGCGGCCTGTCCCGTTGCGCTGCAGGTGATTTGGCAGCCACTGTTCGCTGAGGGGGTCTCCGGCAGCTCAGTGACATCCGTCTCTGAAAATACTGCACTGTCCCCCAACAGAGGTAGTTGATGCTGATTGTACTGGAGTTGCAGGTAGACTGATGCAGCTATTGCCATCATTAGCGTCCCATACGGCATCCCTGCTCGTGCTGGTGGTGCTGGCTGACAGGCAGCAAAAGGCGCTTGGGGAGGCCTCAGAGGCCTGAGATCAGGTGACGGTGGTCGTGACCGGCATTGCTGCACAACTGGTGTCGGGATTGATGAAGGCAAGGGCCCATCGGCACGTGCACCACCTAGCTAGTACCTCAGGTGTGCGCCTTTCGCTCACAGCCACCTCTTCGCAACTTCTCGGACCCCACGAGGGTAGTCCTTGAAGCACTTGGGAAAGGTGCGGAAGGTACTCCACTGGGAGTACGCGGCTTCCAGGTCGACGCTTTCCTCCACATTGTCACTATCGTGACTGGAGCCGGTCTGCTTTCGGAAGTGCTTTCGGAACAGGTCTCTGCCCTTCACCTTCGCACTGTCCGCCTTGTTCGATCTTGGGACGCATTGTATCGCTCCACCGAGCCAATGTCGGCAAGGTAGTCGTTGAGGTTCTTGACAACTTCAGCAACTTTCTCCGTGTTCGTCATCATTTTCTTGTCATTCTTGGCAAGCATCTCACCCCACAGCTCGAGGAACTTCTTCTCGGCATCGCTGGAAAAACAACTTTCGGCATGTTTGCTTCGGATAATTATCGGATAACAACTTCTCGTCAACTGCTCAGAAGGCACTTCAAAATGGAAAGAGAACACTTCAGGAATACTTCAAGGAACTTGTCAAGAACAGGGCACAATTTGTAGCATGCACTTTCACCTTCAGTTCACCAACGGTCACTTTTGCTCACTTTTGCTGGGGTGCAAAGTATAATCGTGAGCAAAAAGGACCTCGGCCAAGATGTAAAAAAAACCAGTTGCACGCATGTGTTCAAGTTAATCGTATTTGAGTAAATATCCTTGGAAACGGTACGATGAAAATGAGTTTTCATGTTGTGTGAATGGTGCAAAACAGGGAAATCTTCAGACAGTTTTTTTATTCATGTTGCTCACAGCGAAATTGACACGAAATACATCATCTGCGAAAGGTTATGGAAGATTGTAAAGATTACAAAGGGTGGAAAGAGGCAAAAAGTGGTACGGTCAGTACCGTAGTGACCGTACCGACGCCCCTGATATGGTTCCGCTGTTGGTAGAGTGTGTGTTGGCCGGCGGGGTGCAACTGCTACGTCTGTCCCTTTTGCCGACACTGGGGGGGGTGCAACTGCTACGTCTGTACCTTTTGCCGACACTGTGTGTGTGTGTGTGTGTGGAGGGGGGGGGGGGGGGGGTGCAACTGCTACGTCTGTCCCATTTTCCGACATGATAATGTGCCTTTTCTGTCCTGCTCTGTTGCTGTGGTTTCTTGCAGATAGCAGCGCGTGTTCGTATTGTTTCATACCTATTGCACTAGGAAGTGTGAACGAGGGTACGGATACCACATCCCCACCAGCCCGAGATGGACTGCCACAGCTGGGTCGCTGCCACTTGGAATGGCAGTATCAACTATCCATGCAGAAAAGCGATGACCTGTCGCTAAGGTATGCCGTATGTGTGCGCGTGTGCGTGTGTGTGGGGGGGGGGGGGGTAGCATAGCACGGAATCTAGTCCCTATTGGCCAGGTGTGTGTGTTTAAATGTTGCTTTGTTTTGCTGTACTTGTATTTCTACCTGTAGTGTTCTAGTGTGTGTGTCCAAACATCGGCCAGAAGACTGTCTGCCGCCGCCACCACCACAGTCACAGACCACACAGGAACTCAGTGGTGATCATGTGGAGACGACCGTCGTCAGCAAACCAGCAGTGGCGTCACTGCTGCCCGGTATTGGCCAAACCCTGCCTCGTGTAGGCTGGCTGGGCAAGACTCTCCTACCAAAGGTGGTGACATGGATGCGGCCTGCAACCACGCAAACACCCCAAGACAAGAATAGCAGGTAAGCTACATGTGCATAATAGAGAGGTTTTAAAGATGCACGTTATTTCCGAAGTGACGTGAAATTTCACGTCAAATTTGGCGTAAAATTCCAAATTTCGACGTGAGCTGCAGGTCACTCGCGTTGTTTTTCGACGAGCGAGCCAAATAACACGAGCTGAACTTCAACGTCACGTCAGAAATAACGTGCATCTTAACCTCTCCATTGCTATCGTTACGCATGTCCTTTCTGTTCACCTTGTTTAGAATGGCTGCTGCTTGGAAGTCCAGACGATCGACGGAAAATTCGTCGAGTCAGCAATATGTGACCGCTTTTATCCTTCTCTGCAATACTTTGTGATCTCTTTCTGTATACTTGTCTCGCTGCGCTGTGGCATTGTGCACCCACACACACATACACATACACACACTGCTGTGCAGGAATGGTACAGGTAGCAGCAGTACTGGGGGCAGTGGCTATCCCAAGTGCACTCCGCTGATTGACATGGATCGCTATAGCACACTCTACCAGCATCTCAAGATCAAGTATGGCAAGCACTTAGTCGAGGTAAGTCAAACAGCCGGTTGCAATGCCAGTTCAGGAACTAACAGCCATTCACTGACAGGCTCTACTCTCTCAACAATGGTGCATGTCTATCAGCAATGCCAGCACCATGCTTCTACAGGTGGCAAGTAGCGGCTTAAATCTCTGCTGTTACAGTTCTGTCACTTTGTTGACTTGAACTTCGCTGGCTTACAGAGCCAGCATCATGCCGCACGCATCTGTAACTGTGACAGAACATTGAATACAAACATGAATTTGACTCTTCTTTAAGTGCTGTACAGAATGAGTCGAACGACTTGCCACCGTGTTTGCGTAGCTAGTTGAAATCAATCCTACACAGCAATGCTATCATCTCAGGCAAGTTTTGATAGCTGAGATGATCTCCGGGACATGGGCTAACGATGGTGCAGGAATAATTCCTAAGCGTGATAACTGGCGGATATGCCAAGTAGTCAATTGCTTTGTGCGCAGCACTAACACGTGTCTGCCTCATCGAGATGCTGACAGATTTAGTGTTCTGTTCCACGCTTCCTCCCAGGAGCAGAAATCCAATGTCATTGGTGCTGATGAAAGCCAGACTCGGTACCCTGCCCGAATGGGTTTGGATGACGACGATTGCGATGATGCCTGGGATTGACTCTGTATGTAGCATGCTGTGGACTATACTGGACAACAATTGTTGGTCTCTCGCCTCAGATGCCTTCATTTGCTGTTGCCGCCGCCGCCACTGCTGCTGCTGCTTCTGCGTCGAGGCCAGCAGATCGGGAATGTCCAGGCTGGCCAGGGCCGAAGATCCGTCATTTTCCGCCATGAAAGGAAAACAGTTACATGTACCTTGCAAAACTAGAAGATTAGTGGCTCCTTGGTGATAATTACTTATGAGTTCCTGCACACTGCCTAATTTAAAAGATTTGTGCGTGTAATACATGCGCTTGTGTGTAGAATGATGTTTGTTCACATGGTGGTTTTGTGTGTGTCCATGTGTGCGTGTGTGTGTGTATTTGTGTGTGTCTGTGTCTGTGCATACATGCATGTGTGCGCATATGTTTGTGTGTGCACGTGTGTTTGGGTGTGTGCACGTGTGTGTTTGTGGGTGCGTGGGTGTGCGGGTGTGTATGTGTGTGCGTGTGTGCGTGTGTGAATGTTCACTTGTGTGGTGGTGCTCTTTTCCGTTTGAGTCCAGGTGTGGCCTGAACGTACGGACCCGCACAAGTTTGTGTATGAGGACTGTGCCATTGCAGCGTACCTTCTTGTGAGTACTTTGATTCACGTGTAGCACATACACAGTATGTAACTGCAGAGTATAAAGAACGAAACGAGAGAGAGAGAAATGAGGGAGGGAGAGAGAGAGAGTTACACACGGCCGTCGCTTATCAAATCCTGCAAGTTGGAATTGGAACTTGCTGGCAGCGGCTCGTGTCGGTCTTGGACTCACAGTGTTGCTAGCATCGACACTTGGGTGCTTCGGCGGTGCGACTGCAATGGCCTCGCTAGTCGGCTGAGCTGTGGCAGCTGAGGATTCTGAAGGGCTCGAATTTCTGTCTGGTGTGCAGGCCTTCTTGACGTAAGATGTGGTGCTGAAGTACATGCGCACATATCCAGTGCCGCATGGCAGCGGAATCTTGTCTTACGTCCACGTCCACCCCATTGATGATACGAGTCGCTTTCCCGTCGTCTGTGAATGCGAATGTTGGAATGGCTAACACATTGCGACGGCCCATCAGATTGTTGGTGGAGTTCATCAAGCATTCAACAAATGCGTTGATTATCTCGTTATCAGGCCAAACACCCCTCTTCAGGGCAGCCCTTGCCTGTCCTGTTCCTGCACCCTCTTCAGTTTACGAACGGCAACATTAGAAGCCATTAACAAAGCCTTCTCCACCTGAACAAGGGTATCTCTTGACAATCTCAAAGACAACCAACTGCAATCAACTGCTCGAAAGTCTATTGCAGTTTGAGTTTGGGGCATTTGCTCACTTTGCCAATGTTGAGTATTTCACAACGGACGACGGGACAGTAGACGGAGCGAAATGAGTTCTAGCCAAGATCGTCAGTCAGTCGAGAGAGAGAGAGAGAGAAATAATGAAAAATAGCTGACCTGCATGACTTGGACGAGACGAGGTAGACATAGACGAGACGAGGTTGAAGACGAGACGAGACTGACGACGAGACGAATGCCGGGCGGTAGAGAACGAGAGTCGTGGGTTCCGAGCAATGGTCGGACGCCAATGTTGAGTATGAATTAGGACAACTGACGACATCTTCTCCAGACATTGCATTGAAGACTCTGCCACATGAATACCTGGATGTAAATGCGATATTGCCATTGGTGACAGGTCTGAGACCGAGGGAAAGACATCTGACTCTTGGAGAGCTCACTCCAATCGGTGTGCAGGCCTTCTTGACCTAAGATGCTGCATGCTTGTGTATGTGCTGCTGAAGTACATGCGCACATATCCAGTGCCGCATGGCAGCGGAATCTTGTCTTACGTCCACGAGCTGCTTCCCGAATATATGATACGCTGCAGACAGGCAAACAAAGGCTCCGCAGTCGTACATATTTCTTTGTTGCGGCAAGTCATCCACCTTAACCTGTTCCCAAACTTGTCCAGATGGGCCAATGAGTTCCATGGCTGTTGCAGCATGTACAGTCGGATTGCTGGTTTTAGTGGAGTCATAATGGTCAATAACGTGGGCATTAGTGTCCAGTACCATCAGTACCCAGTGTGCAGGGAAATGTAAAGACATTATGATGAAGTTGAATTCAACCTGATCCTTTTTTTTACTGTTCCTGTGTACGGAGACTCCCTCGATTTAGGCCAAGGGGCCGTCCAAGGTTACCAATAGTATTTTCATTTGGGGGTGGGTGGGTTTGAAGGAGTTTCGTTTTGAAAATAATTATTGACAATGAATGCAGATGGAGAATGCCCAGTTACATGTGGGTGTCGAAAATTATCATCAATATTTTATTTGAATTCGTTTTACCTGCAGAAAAGGTAGGTGGGTGGGTGCTGAAAAATACTAAAACTTTTCGTTTTGCAAAAACTATTGGTAACCGCGGACGGCCCCTAAGGCCTGTGGAGAATCCATAAATACAAATACAAATACAAAATACATGTGTACGTTAGTATATTGCTCGCCGTTGATGTATGTATACGTTTTGGTGGCAATCGATATGACGGTAACGGTGTTATCATCTTGTAGCTCTCTTCGCAGAACGGTAGCTTCTTCTGAGACCGAGGGCATTACACATAGGTGTATAGTACCCCTCATTTGTTCTCAAGTCCGTATTCCCTTTCTCAGGCCGACTTGTAATGTGGTGTTTGGGTAAGGTGAAGTGTTTCTCCAGACAGACTCCTCTGCAGTTAGAAATGGATGAGTTGTCTTTGCGCTCTTCTGTCCGGTGAGAATAAGACCAGTTCCCTACTCACAGCCAGAACACCTTTTGCCGTGCCAACTTCAATATGGCGTCCGTGTGGGGCAGTTTGAGAAAGTTTTTTTTGCCGCATCGTGCATAGCGAGCTAGCGGCCCCCCCCGAAGTTCAATTACGTTTCCGTCGCACAAGTTCTAAAAGTTATTGTGTTGTCTAAATTTCCCTCCAGTAGAGTATGGCTGCTATGGTCGCTGGCCTTTCTGAGCCTTTCTCTTTTGCAACAAAGTGGTGGTAGGGAAGAGGGTGTCTCTTTTTTAAATACATTTTTTAACTATGTTCTCATACCCAGCTCGAAAAATGACGAAAATAAATAATGAAAGACAATGGTACGGAGACTAGGACAAACGTGACAACTACTGAGCAGGGGCTGCACCGAGACGCAGCAGTGATGGTGGGGCATTGATGACTCTGCCGACCTGAGGTCTCGGCATCACGGCAAAAGCACGCACCAAAAACAAAAGATAGAACTGTACGGGTCAGCAAAATGAAAAGAAAGCAAGGCTTAACACCAGCGGGTGTACGGGAGAAACTATGATACTGTGGAGAATTACAGGGGTTGTGGCTGGGAGGAGCATCATGGCGAGTCGATTGTCCGAGCCAGTTGTGTTGCGTAGATAGGGATAGACGAGAGCAGCTTCATAGCGAGTTGACTGCCCAGAGCCAGTTTTTACTTCGTAGATGGCGATAAACGTTCGTTTTAAATGATTGCATTCCCTTTCTGTGGGGAAGGTGGGAAAGAAGAGCGGCGGGGATAGAGTTCCGATCACTAATGCTGCAGTGCTTCATTGCCAGCGGGGCAGATGCAGGCAACTGGTGTTGGAGCTCTGCCCGAAGTAGACTGCTGCACGCCCACGTATATCACCCTGTCCGTAGTGTTCTGTCCAGGTATCGCTTCCTGCGAAGCCACGATAGTGTGGATCTTCGTCGCCGATCTTCAAGCCATGACGATCTTAGTTTTCTTTTAGTGGAGGAGGCTGCCTCGTCCATGAGCCTTGTTAAGGAGAACAGTGATAAGACGAAACTTTCGCTTTAGAAGAACCAGTATTCATAACTCAATTTGGATAAACCAATGGGTATTCACTATTCACCACGTGTAACATATGGATAAGAAGAACTCCCGTTATCGGGAACAAATGCTATCGGTCCCTTGGTGTTCGTCCTAAAGAGATTTGACAAATGCTATCGGTCCCTTGGTGTTCGTCCTAAAGAGATTTGACAAATGCTATCGGTCCCTTGGTGTTCGTCCTAAAGAGATTTGACAAATGCTATCGGTCCCTTGGTGTTCGTCCTGAAGAGATTTGACAAATGCTATCGGTCCCTTTGGTGTTCTCCCTAAAGAGATTTGACAAATGCTATCGGTCCCTTGGTGTTCGTCCTAAAGAGATTTGACAAATGCTATCGGTCCCTTGGTGTTCGTCCTAAAGAGATTTGACAAATGCTATCGGTCCCTTGGTGTTCGTCCTAAAGAGATTTGACAAATGCTATCGGTCCCTTGGTGTTCGTCCTAAAGAGATTTGACAAATGCTATCGGTCCCTTGGTGTTCGTCCTAAAGAGATTTGACAAATGCTATCGGTCCCTTGGTGTTCGTCCTAAAGAGATTTGACAAATGCTATCGGTCCCTTGGTGTTCGTCCTAAAGAGATTTGACAAATGCTATCGGTCCCTTGGTGTTCGTCCTAAAGAGATTTGATTGTAACATGTAGTAGGGTATGGGTGGTAAATGCATGCCACATAGCACGCCACACAACAAAGGGTTCCTATTTTAAAGCTGCAAACTCTGGCAAAGAGTACTGCGTCTCTCACCACCACTATCACCAGTATGCTCCTGGCGCCCTGTCAATGCATGGTTGGTGTTGGGGAGTTGTACATTTACCAATATACTAGTATCGCCAGGTGTGTGTATCATGCTCTGCTGTATTGACTGCTGCATGCTGAATCATTCGTCGAAGCCAAGCTCCAGTCTAACAGGCATGAGCGTACGTCATAATTATTTCAGCCAAGTTGTCACTGTCTCATCTGCTCCTAGTACTAGTATGTGCAAGGTGCTAGCTAATGTCCCAGCCACCTTTACCGGATATTGCTAGCCATACATCGTCGACCAGCAAGGCACAGACTGATGGTTGTAGTGATGGTGTAGGTGTTAAAAAGCACCTTTTGCTAGAACTTTGCAGCCTTGAGAGCGTTTATCTGGGCAGGTGTGTATTTACCGCCATATTTCCAGATGTGTTTATCACCCTTAGTTTTCCACTCCAGTATCTATAATTCTGCAGTGCAGCATTTCAATCATTTTTATTTGAGACATGCCTTCTTTGTTCTTTCCGAACTGCCCAGGTGTTGTGGGAGGAAGAAAGAGAACGACTTGCGCTAACTCAAAAGCAATCGTTTGTTGACTTAGGCTGTGGCAATGGCTTGCTTGTGCATCTCCTGGCATCTGAAGGGGTAAGGCACTGACCAACTGTCTATACGTGCATGTATTGGTAGTGTGCTTGCTTTCTCAATTCCCTATACCTTCATCTTACTTTGCCATTCTCTCCTCTCCTCTCCCCCCCCCCCCCTCTCTCTCTCTCTCTCTCTCTTTTCTCTCTTTCTCTCATTGTTCTCTCCCTTCGCTTTGTCTCCTCCTCTTTACCTAGTTTGTTGGTGTTATTTACACCACAGTCCTAGAGGACCAGCATTGCTGACTCGTAGATTGTTTGTGTAATGACTGCATACATGTATCGTGGGACGTTGTTCTATTGCAGATCTGTTGATGATTGCCCTGTGAACTTCTCCCTTTCTGAATCTGCATGTTTGCACGGTTGTGTTTGCCCATGGATCTGCCCCTATATGTGTGTTTGCCCATGGATCTGCCCCTATATGTGTGTATGCATGACCAATGTGCCATTGGTTGTCCATGTGCTGCAGCATCCCGGCAAAGGTATTGACTTGCGCAAGCGTCGCATCTGGGATCTGTACGGACCGCAGACTGTCCTAGAGGTAAGCTATGGCCATGGCTGAATATGCTGAGCACCACCACCAGCACTACCACCACCACCAGCACTACCACCACCACCAGCACTACCACCACCACCAGCAGCACCACCAGCACCACCACCAGCACCACCACCTCCACCACCACCAGCACCACCTCCACCACCACCAGCACCACCACCACCAGCAGCACCACCACCACCAGCACCACCACCTCCACCACCACCAGCACCACCACCAGCACCACCACCAGCACCACCACCAGCACCACCACCTCCACCACCACCAGCACCACCAGCACCACCTCCACCAACACCACCACCACCTCCACCACCACCAGCACCACCACCAGCACCACCTACACCACCACCAGCACCAACACCACCAGCACCACCTCCACCAGCACCAGCACCACCTCCACCACCACCAGCACCACCTCCACCAGCACCAGCACCAGAGAAAGCGGTCTTTAGTGGCAGGTGGTCCTTAGTTAGAGGTTTGCATCGCACAACCATATAGGAATGTGAGACCGTCCGTGCCTGGCGAAGTGGTCTGTAGTACCAGGCTGGTCGCTAGTCATGGTGGTCTTTAGTTACAGGTTTTATTGTATGCTGTTGCATCATACTCACAACCCTAGTCACTGAGTATCTATGTATGCTGTTGCATCATGCTCACAACCCTAGTCACTGAGTATCTATGTATACTGTTGCATCATGCTCACAACCCTAGTCACTGAGTATCTATGTATACTGTTGCATCATACTCACAACCCTAGTCACTGAGTATCTATGTATACTGTTGCATCATGCTCACAACCCTAGTCACGGAGTATCTATGTATACTGTTGCATCATACTCACAACCCTAGTCACTGAGTATCTATGTATACTGTTGCATCATGCTCACAACCCTAGTCACTGAGTATCTATGTATACTGTTGCATCATACTCACAACCCTAGTCACTGAGTATCTATGTATACTGTTGCATCATGCTCACAACCCTAGTCACTGAGTATCTATGTATACTGTTGCATCATACTCACAACCCTAGTCACTGAGTATCTATGTATACTGTTGCATCATACTCACAATCCATTGTTGTTTGTTCTGGTTGTTCTCGTATTGTGTCGTGTGCCCCTTGCACAGGAACATGCCATAGAGCCGTCTGACTCATCATTGTTCCCGCACACTGACTGGATTATCGGTAATCATTCCGACGAGTTAACACCCTGGATACCATTGATCACAGCCAGGTAGGGCCCGGTGTAATATGCCCGAAACTTTGCCGAAAATGCTTTTGGGAAATTCTCGTAAACCTTGCCGAAACCTTGCCGAAAATGCTCGGAAAATGCTCACTTTTTTGTAATCCTTAGCACACGCCGTCAAAAGACTCAAAACCAGGGAGTCAGAAAATACCGGTATTTTACGTCTCCCTGGTCAAAACCATTATTTTCAATTCATAAACCATGTAAACTACTCAACAAGAAGATAACCCACGGAATGCGGAAGTGACGTTCTTGTTTGGGAAGTTTTTCTTCTCTCAATTTTGATACACAACGTTGTCAACGGCCAAGTACTCCGTTTCCCCCAAAATGCTGCATCACGAGCCCAAAGTGCTGGGTTCGCGGATTGTACCGAAAATGCTCTAAAAAATGCCGGCATATTACACGGGGGCCTACAGCCAGGTAAGGAGTTTTTAAAGGACAAGCACGCACGCACACCTACACACACGCACGCGCACACACACACACACACACACACACACACTTGTACTTACTTGCACTAACTGTCTTGTTGCTCACGGCCAAAACTGGTCACGTGTGTCTCCCCGGGAGAGGGGACACACACACACGCACACACACGCACACACACACACACACACACTAACGCACGCACGCATGCACGCACACACACACACACACACACACACACTAACGCACGCATGCACGCACACACACACACACACTGATGTCCAGGCCTGAAACGATCGTGGATTCCATCTAGTACTGCATATAGTATGGGATTACAGTCGTCCCTTGTTAGTCCAGGAATTTGTAAACCAGCACTGTCACCTGATAATACACCCAGCTGTGCTGGGAGTGCTCAATACCACGGAGGAAAACATGTTAGACAGAACAACAAGGCACAAGGCTAGGTTGTTGCAACTTGTCTGCAGAGTGTGTATACAATTTTTTTTACTATGTTCACAATCTTTTAAATTAACATACCCATCTCGAAAAGATTAATGAATGACAATGGTACTGAGACTAGGACAAACGTGACAACTACTGAGCAGGCGCTGCACCGAGACGCAGCAGTGATGGCGGGGCATTGATGGCTCTGCCGACCTGAGGTTTCGGTATCACGGCCAAAAACACACCAAAAAAAAGAAAAAAAAAGAAAAGACCTGTACGGGTCAGAAAAATGAGAGAAAGCAAGGCTTAACACCAGCGAGTGTGCGGGAGAAACTATGAATCTGACACTAATACTATGTAGACGAAAGGAGCATCATAGCGAATCGACTGCCCAGAGCCAGTTTGTGCTTTGTAGATGGCGATAAACGTTCGTTTTAAATGATTGCATTCCCTTGCTGTGGGGGGGGGGGGGGCTGGGAAAGAAGAGCGGCGGGGAGGGAGTTCCAATCGGTAATGCTGCAGTGTGGGAACGAGTTCTTCACTGACAGCGGGGCAGATGCCGGCAGCTGGTGTTGGAGCTGGTGGTCATGGCCAATGACACTACAGGTACTGCAGCTTGGACAGGCAGGCAAGCGAGGCAACAGTACGGCGGATGGCCAGGCTGGGTAGGTGTGCACCAGGGCCTATAACCTGAAGTGCGCGGCGCTGAACATTGTTCACTTGCTGGAGGTTCAGAGATGTTTCAGAGGTGGCTGGCCTCGTACCTGGACGCTCGTTCTCTACAGTGCCTCGTTGGAGTCTAGCTTCTGGGAGGGTGGTGTCGAGATGATCGATTTGGGTAAGATCGCCAGGGGCACAGGACTTCGGCCGATAGACTGCTCCAACGTCGGGCTGATGCTGCAGGAGTAGGTGCTGTAATTCGGGAAGTTTGCTAGGCCGAAAGCGTTGGTGCATAGATTGCGAAAATGCTTGCTACCCTTCATTGCAGGAGGAAGATGGGGAGGGAACTGTGGTGTAAGCGGGTGCATAGTGACATGCATGGCTAAGGGTCCTAAAATCTAATGAAATACCTAACAAAATCATGCTAAAGAAAAGAACGAAGAAGCTGAAGGGAGACACGAGGTTGAAGTAGGACAGGGAAAACCAGATTGTGTATGTATACCTAGGGCTACACAGGGGGAGAAGACGTTATGTGCGTCAAGTGTTCTGCGTGTTGCTTGACGCAGTGGTCTTTTTCGCTTTCTTCTTCCCCTGGATATCACTGGAAACTGCCACTGGGGAGGACGATTCCCGCAGCCTCTGGCGGGAACAGTCTGCCAGTATGGCCAATGGCGGCTCTAGCCTCATCGCCCGCAGGGAGTTTCCCCTCAGATGGACATTCAGACTCCTGGGCCCAGCTGCTGTCAGGAGACAGAGTCAGGTCAAGTTCCACGTGGTTGCTTAGTTGTTTTATCCTCATGCTCAGGTCACGTTTTGACATTTACAGCGGAAGCTAAGTCTAGGCTTCCATGTGTACCTGTGCCCTCCTCCAGGGGTCCCGAGTCGACCTTACCAGCTGGAGCAACGCCCAGGCTCTCGTGCTGTGGCCATGCTTTGTAGTGACTTTCCCGTATCGAACGATGGAAACATGATTCCCGTATGGTTTAAGGGCGTCCATCAATGCAATGTCCGAGATCCAGACAGGGAGATCAGATATGTTCAGCTGGAGGATCGAATCCAGTACATTTGAAACCGAAACAGTCTTATCCAATAGAGAAAAGCCCTCCTGAACAACACGCTCTAGACTGGCGATGGACATGAAGGTTACAATGCACTCATGCTGAGAACTTATCTGCAAAGATGTGAGGTCGTTGTACCCAGCATCTCCAAGTGCATTCGCGACATCCACCACTTTGGTCCCCAGTGGGCAATCGAATTTCCCGGACGTCTCGCACATCTCCTCGGAGCTCAGTGCCATCCACCGGGGTCTCGAGTTACCAGAGCTCGCCATGGTTGGTGGTAAGGGTACGCCCTAGATCTGCTTAATATTCAAAAACTACCACTTTCACAAAAGGATGCAGAGCTCTCAAAACTGCATCCGCATCCTACAAGTGCAGTGGCAAACAGTCCATGCATGTATGCATGCTGGCGCACTGCAGGAGTTCTTTGGAAGTGTGCAGGAGTTTGTACATTTGACTCTTAGTTTGGAATTACACCAGAAGTCCGAACGGAAATCTAGTGCCGGTTCACATTGCCATGGTTTTTGAAATCGTTTGTTGTTTTTTGTCGCTTGTCCTGTTGTTATTATGTGTGTTGGTGTTGTCTGTTGTTGTCTGTTTATCATTGTATGTATGTGTGTGTGTGTGTGTGTGTGTGTGTGTGTGTGTGTGTGTGTGTGTGTGTGTGTGTGTGTGTGTGTGTGTGTGTGCGTGTGCGTGCGTGTGCATGCGTGCGTGAGTGTGTGTGTGTGTGTGTGTGTGTGTGTGTGTGCGTGCGTGCGTGAGTGTGTGCACGCGTGTGTGCGTGTGTGTGTTTGTGTGTGTGCGTGCGTGCGTGCGTGCGTGTTGGCACCTGTAGGTCAGCGTACACTACTCGCTTCTTTCTACTGCCATGTTGCTTCTTTGACTTCCATGCCAAGGTACTGGATGAGACTACTGTAGCAGACAGTGGAACAGTTGCCTGTGTACATCATGTAGAGGGGACGGCTCGATACCGGGACGTTTTGACAGCCAAATTTGTATAGACCCAAACCGATCATCAGCGTTGATTTTTCACTCGAAATATGTTTGTGGAAGGAAACTGGCATGTTGAAGTTTGCTCTGGGGCCAGAGTCAATCGAACTGAGCCACTCCTTTGTGTTGACCCATTGCCTCCAAGTTGCCCAATTTTTCGCTTCAAAAAAGTTCAAATCAGAGGTGGCTCCAAACCGGACACGTTTTAGAGTGCACGTCAAATTCACTCTGGGTCTGAAATTAGGTAATTGCTATCGCTCCACGACGGCCAGTACAGAGTAACAATAAGCCGTGTGTGTGCTTCCATTAGTTTTGATTGGTATGCGGTGCTTTATTGGCGAGAGGCGAGCCGCTGTTTACCTGCGACAAGAAGTTGATTTTTCGAAAGTCGTAAAACTCAAGTCGCAGTGCGAAGCAACACGTCAAAAACTCACCTGCTTGATATGGCGCTTCTGGTCATCGCAGAGCCATGAAATTTTGGCTCGGAGTATAACACATCGTAGTCTCACTGTGACGTATGTTTTCTAATCAAAATACCAAGAGAGAAAGTGAATATTGAGTCCGTTCCGGTTTGCAACCGGTGTCCTATTTGAAACCGTCCCCTCTACATGTAGTAGTAGTGTTTTGGCTCTAACATACACTTTGTTTTGCATCGGACAGACTATTCTGAGGACCCTGTCCAGTCTTTAATTTCGTTTCCAATCGTTTGACCTCGGATGTAGACTCCGTTGTCAGTTACATGGGCATCTTGGTTTTGAGCTTTGTCAGTGGGTCAGAATGCATGATGTAATATCTCGGTGACAGTGCATTATCTCAGTGACAGTGCATTACAGTTGGACCTCGCTTATCCGGTCCTCTTTTATCTGGATCCCTCGCCATCCGGATCAAAATCGCTGGTTACCGATTTACAGCATGTGCTATGCATACATACCGTATGTGTGTTCGATTATCCGGTTCCCTCGCCTACCTTGTTGTTTTTTTGGAAAACGGATGTGTGCGGTTAAAGGGGAAGTTAAGGCAAAAATTAAAATTTCACCAGTTGTAGTCTTCGGGGTACTGAGTCGAATGGTCTTGGTCCGAGGAAGCTGAGACGCTCCCTTCCTACTTGAATCCCAATCGAACTCGCGCACTTCCACCGAAACTGGGTGACTGCGCCCTACTAGATGGGGATTTGTATGCAAAATGTCACTAAAAGTGCCATTTCGTTCTTATTAAAGCACGGATGACCGCGATTGGCCCATATGTTGTAGTCTTTTGGACGCCGAGTCGACTGGTTTTGGTCCGAAAAGGCTGCGATGCAGCGTTCCTCCTTTATTCCCAATCGAACATGGTTGAACAAGTGGTCACGTGCTCCTGGGTGCCCAAATCACCTGGTCACCACGCCAGCAGGTGACAACTTTCACACCAAGGTTCAACTCGAGTTCAACTCGAGTGACAGGACTGCACCCAAAAAAGGTCAAACAGGCTAGTAAGTTGTACCCTGCAGGCACGGTGACCAGGTGACTGGCGTACGCAGGAGCACGTGACCGCTTGTTCAACCATGTTCG